ATATAATGGAAGCCTACTAAATTCATCTGCTTGTGGTTAATAGGGAGATGTGATTTGCTTTGCCCTTGGACGGGTGACATAAGGTCATTTGCTGTGGGTCAGCTCAGTGGAAGAGCTGAAAACAACCTTGATTTTATTGAGAAAAAATGAATAAGCAGGAAGCTCATTGTGTATGCTTGTGTATTGTGATATGGTAGTGGAGATTAACTAGTTTGCATGATGGCCTGGCTCCAGTAATAATATTAAGATTCTTTTGTCCTCCTGATCCCTTGATATTAAATGTATTCCTTGTTTTGTTTTGTATTTTCTTTTTTTGTTTGATTGTGAATCCATAATTAAAATGAATCTAGGTGGTTAAATGCCTCGGATTGGGTTTTTATCACTGGTGTGAGTGTGTGTAGTTCCACGTGTGCTCACTGTACTTTTGCAAGCGTGCGCGTCACAATCGACACGTGCCTCTCGTTTCATTTCCCGATAAGCTTGTGTAAATGGGTCAATGGGAAGTCAAATGAAGTTGGCTCTTGGCCTCTGGTGCCCTGGGAAGTATTTCTGGAGGAAAGTGAATTGAATTAACCCAGTTGAGTGGCTCTCAGAGGAGCAGGAGCCACCCTGAACAGTTACTACACACACCAATCAATAAATGCACATGGGAACCAGGCCCAGTGCACTGAACTCTGCCGGATGTTCATCGGCACATATCCACCTTTTTATTGTTGTATAAATGGGCGTGGCCATTTGTAAATTATATGGGTCTGGCTTCCGGTCTCATCTGCGTCCAGCTATTTTTAGCTGAACAAAACAGTTCGTTTTGCTGCTTGATATTGAAAGTTGGTGCGTCTTATATTATTTTAGTGTATTATCTTAATTATGAACACACTGGTTTGTAGTGCAAACAGTTTTACCGGTTACTACATGTTGTTATTCTCCTTGTTATTTATCTATAGCGGCTAATGAACCGGAAGTCTCACCCATAGGCTTACTTCCGCGTTGAAGAAAAAGGTGGATAGAAGGCATGCAATAGCTGCCCTTTGGGTTTCCGACTGGAATGACCTCTATGCTTGCTTTCAATGCCCTGTGTCTGAGATTTGTGCAGGATCCTGCTGTATTCGCATATCATGTAAAAAATCAATACAAATAAATTTAACCTTAAATTAAAAAAATAAAACCTCTCTTTAATTAAGTACAAATCACATCCCTGCAGATTACTCTATTTTACATTTAATCTGAGCATAATTGTTAACAAGCAATAGACAATCCACACTCGAAGACCCAAAATAGCTCTCTGTTATACGGGTTCAGTCTCATATTCTCAGTGAGTTTGATATACAAAGAGTGAGTTGAGACTAAGTAACATGTTGGTAACACTGTGCTGTCAGAGAGCACAGTGTGACTTCAGATTAAATCAGTTATCAGGGTTCTGTGATGGTGTCTTTATGGATAAGTAAACTGTCCAGTAGGATGTACCCTTACACATAGAATAACTGAAGAAGGTGAAAGATTTAGTTCTGTTTTTTAAATAGAGCAACACTGCCATCTAGCAGGATCTACATCTACATTTACATTTCTAAAAGCCTCAGGAGGCTTTGAATAAAACACTTTACTTTAAAGGTTTTAAGTGTTATTATTGTGTTACTGCATTCTAATTTTTATAAATAATTACTGTTTTTAAAATAAATGACAACTGGTTGAGCCAATGCCAAGTTTTTACCAACCTAGAAATGGCTTGCTTATTAATATACATTTACTTATTATAAACATTTTATAAATATAAATTTAGTACTAATTTTGTATTTATTATAAAATTACTTTCATTTACTTATTAATATGAACTTACATGTTAATATAAATATTGACAAATTACATGCCTTATATTTACAAAAATAAATCTTGTATTTAAATAAATGTGTTAATCATGTATTCAGAATAAAAGTAATTTTATTATTAATTTTATTTTATAGAGATATATTTGGCTCACTTTTGATTGAAAACCTCTGTATTTTTTTCATTCTGTATCATCTTATCTGTTTGACATCTAATTTTCTTTGGCAGTGTTTGGGGATATTTTGGATAGCACATCCACGCCTTTGGGTACAGACCAACAAAACAAAGAGGGCCAGAAATCTGCTCCCAAATCAACCCAAAAGGCCAAGGAACGAGACAAGGACAAAGATAAACTAACATCTAAGTCAAGCTCCATTATGGAGCAAGTCAGTACACTATATGTGTGTTTGTGCATTTATTTTAATGTCAGTATCGAATCCCACCATATGTTTAAATCATTCGCCCACATATTCTCCTGTAGAAAGAGCTTCTTTCGTGAATATTGTTCATTGTGCTTTACAGACGTGCACATTTCTCTTAAGTTCAAGTTTTTTTTTCAAGTTTTTTTTAACCTTGGAATGGATCAAGATATAATGTTTAAATTTATAAGTTTGAGGACATTTCAGGTTAAGCTCTGATACAGTGCCTCTTTGTCAGAAATGTAAGAGAGAGACTTTATATTTTCAAATTTTTCAAGGGATGAGTTGTAAGTATACACTACTGTTCAAAAGTTTGAGGTCAGTTTTGTATATTTATATAGATTTTTTTTGATTCAGCAAATAAATTGATCAAAAGTAACAGTAAAGTTGATTATACAGTTAAAAAAGATTTCTATTTCAAATAAATGCTGTTATTTTGAACTTTTTATTTCTGAAAGAATCTTGAAAAAAATTTAGTATGGTTTGCACAAAATTATTAAGCAATTGTTCTCAGCATTGATAATAGTAAGAAATGTTTCTTGAGCATTAAAATGGCATATTAAAATTATTTCCAAAGGATCATGTGACACTGAAGACTGGAGTTATGGCTGCTGAAAATTCAGCTTTGCCATCAGCGGAATAAATACAATTTAAAAATATATTTAACAAGCCAATGGTTATTTTAAATTGTAATAATATTTTACAATATTATGTTTTTTACTCTATTTTTGATCACATAAATGGTGTTTAAGAGACTTCTTTTAATCTTACCGACCCCAAACTTTTGAACAGTACTGTAAATGTCAGCTTGTTTATTTGTGTGTGCAGAGTTTGGATGAGAGTAAGCCCCACTGGACCCTGCGTGTAGTGAGTGACCACAGTGAGGCAGGAAGTATAGAAGTGAAGAAAGACACTGAGAAACTAGAGGAGATCAGAGCCATGAAACTGGCCTGGGAGGCAGCTGAGCCCGGCAGAGCAGCAAAGGTACCACATAACTGGAAAGGTAGAAGTAAATCTGCTATGTGTGCTCAAACAATCCTGCATGTGTATCTGATTGGTTTGTTTTGAAGGGTCATCAGTCTCGGCTACATTATCTCAAAGAGCTGCAAGAACGTGCAGAGAGTAAAGAGCCTGTCACGGCAGAGACAGGTTAAACACAAAGATACACACAACCAGATTGTTTAATACAGTTTTATAGGGGCATATTTATTATATGGCCTAATATTTTCATTGTTCGTATTTTGTAGACAATCAACCTCAGCCCCAACAGAGTGGAGAGTTCATACAGAAGACTGACAAAAATTATATTGATTATGCACCATTTATCAGGTATCACAATTATATTGTATATTATAAAAGTTTGGGGTTGATAATATAAAAAAAATTGATATTTTTTATGTTAATCAAGGAAGCATTTATTTGATCAAAATTACAGTAATAACAGTAATATTGTGACATTACAATTTCAAATAACAGTTTTATATTTTATTGTAATACATTTTAAAATGTAATTATTTCCTGTGATGGCAAATCTTTCAGATATCATTCTAATGCTGATTTGGTACTTAGAAAACATTTCTTATTATTATCAATGTTGAAAAGGCTCCTTGCTTAAAAACCCCAAACTTTTGAACGGTAATGTATATGATCTTCGCTTTCACTCATAGTTTCGCTCTCTTTTTGTTTGAAGGAAGTCTTTGCCGCAGCCTCGTCTGAAGGATGAAGTGTTGGAGGAGGAGCAGAGGAGGGAACGCTCTGAGAAGTTCCAAAGTTTCCGCCTGATCTGGGACAATATTCTGGAACAGCGTAAACAGGAAAAAATTGCACGCAAGGAAATGATGAAACGACAGCTAGAGACTTACATTGGCTTTCAGGTTTGTCATGTGTCGATACTATAAATGCAGATTTACACCACACAAAATCATTGTTTTTATTGTTGGTATTTGTACCATAGCAGAGAAGTCATTAGAAAAAAAAACATTTGATTTCCTGTTATAGGACACAATGGATGCATATCGGCAAAAGATGCTACAGACTCGTGAGGCATTCTGTTCCCGCATCCTAAAGGAGCAGTCACATAAGAAAATGGAAGAGCCACCTAAGGAAACAGTCGAACAGGTTGAGCTAGAGAAAAACCCTACTGTGGTCCAGTCAAGTGGACGTAAGAGTGGGGGCAAGAGGAAGTGATCTGACCGACCAAAATTTCATAGCAATCAAATAAGCAGTCACTCATTCTAATATTACTCTTCGTTTTATTAAGACTATTGCATTGCCTGTCCTTTTTGAAAATATATTAAGAAAAGATTTATTTTGTAACAAGTGAATTCAGTTTGTAAGATTAGCATGCAGAGTCACCTTTCACTGTCAGGTTATCTTCCTCTGTGATTCTTTATTTAAATGGTTACTGTCAGGATTGATTTGAGCAGCTCTGAAGGACAGCCTGTCTCAGAGTGGCGAATATTGTTTCCCAGAAGAATATTATTGTTCCTATACATTCAAACTAAGTACTAAATGTCAATTTATTACATACTTTACAGATTAAATGAAATAAAAAATAATTAGATCCTTGTATGGTTTCCAAGTTTTTTTCTAGTTAAAAAATGTATTTATATATTTTATCACATAGCCGCCATGAGATAAAATGAGTGCTGGAACTTAAGCACAAGCACAAACACAATGACAATGTGATGTGATTAAAAAAATAAATAAATAAACACTTGATGAATCTCCCAAGTAAATTAAATTACTTTTATTATAGGAATGGATAGTGTCTCTAGGTTACGTATGTAACCATGGTTCCCCGAGGGAACGAGACGCTGCATCGAGTCGCTTTGGGAACCCCCTTGCGTGAGTGCGTTCTGAAGCACGTGTCAAATCAGTCCAATGGAGACCAGAAAGTATAAAAGCGCATCCAGCAGAGCGCAAACCAGCTTCGATGAAGTAGCGCCTGCAGGGATGCAGGGATTATGGCAAAGAGACGCAGCGTCTATTATTTTAGTGTATTATCTTAATTATGAACACACTGGTTTGTAGTGCAAACAGTTTTACCGGTTACTACATGTTGTTATTCTCCTTGTTATTTATCTATAGCGGCTAATGAACCGGAAGTCTCACCCATAGGCTTACTTCCGCGTTGAAGAAAAAGGTGGATAGAAGGCATGCAATAGCTGCCCTTTGGGTTTCCGACTGGAATGACCTCTATGCTTGCTTTCAATGCCCTGTGTCTGAGATTTGTGCAGGATCCTGCTGTATTCGCATATCATGTAAAAAATCAATACAAATAAATTTAACCTTAAATTAAAAAAATAAAACCTCTCTTTAATTAAGTACAAATCACATCCCTGCAGATTACTCTATTTTACATTTAATCTGAGCATAATTGTTAACAAGCAATAGACAATCCACACTCGAAGACCCAAAATAGCTCTCTGTTATACGGGTTCAGTCTCATATTCTCAGTGAGTTTGATATACAAAGAGTGAGTTGAGACTAAGTAACATGTTGGTAACACTGTGCTGTCAGAGAGCACAGTGTGACTTCAGATTAAATCAGTTATCAGGGTTCTGTGATGGTGTCTTTATGGATAAGTAAACTGTCCAGTAGGATGTACCCTTACACATAGAATAACTGAAGAAGGTGAAAGATTTAGTTCTGTTTTTTAAATAGAGCAACACTGCCATCTAGCAGGATCTACATCTACATTTACATTTCTAAAAGCCTCAGGAGGCTTTGAATAAAACACTTTACTTTAAAGGTTTTAAGTGTTATTATTGTGTTACTGCATTCTAATTTTTATAAATAATTACTGTTTTTAAAATAAATGACAACTGGTTGAGCCAATGCCAAGTTTTTACCAACCTAGAAATGGCTTGCTTATTAATATACATTTACTTATTATAAACATTTTATAAATATAAATTTAGTACTAATTTTGTATTTATTATAAAATTACTTTCATTTACTTATTAATATGAACTTACATGTTAATATAAATATTGACAAATTACATGCCTTATATTTACAAAAATAAATCTTGTATTTAAATAAATGTGTTAATCATGTATTCAGAATAAAAGTAATTTTATTATTAATTTTATTTTATAGAGATATATTTGGCTCACTTTTGATTGAAAACCTCTGTATTTTTTTCATTCTGTATCATCTTATCTGTTTGACATCTAATTTTCTTTGGCAGTGTTTGGGGATATTTTGGATAGCACATCCACGCCTTTGGGTACAGACCAACAAAACAAAGAGGGCCAGAAATCTGCTCCCAAATCAACCCAAAAGGCCAAGGAACGAGACAAGGACAAAGATAAACTAACATCTAAGTCAAGCTCCATTATGGAGCAAGTCAGTACACTATATGTGTGTTTGTGCATTTATTTTAATGTCAGTATCGAATCCCACCATATGTTTAAATCATTTGCCCACATATTCTCCTGTAGAAAGAGCTTCTTTCGTGAATATTGTTCATTGTGCTTTACAGACGTGCACATTTCTCTTAAGTTCAAGTTTTTTTTTCAAGTTTTTTTTAACCTTGGAATGGATCAAGATATAATGTTTAAATTTATAAGTTTGAGGACATTTCAGGTTAAGCTCTGATACAGTGCCTCTTTGTCAGAAATGTAAGAGAGAGACTTTATATTTTCAAATTTTTCAAGGGATGAGTTGTAAGTATACACTACTGTTCAAAAGTTTGAGGTCAGTTTTGTATATTTATATAGATTTTTTTTGATTCAGCAAATAAATTGATCAAAAGTAACAGTAAAGTTGATTATACAGTTAAAAAAGATTTCTATTTCAAATAAATGCTGTTATTTTGAACTTTTTATTTCTGAAAGAATCTTGAAAAAAATTTAGTATGGTTTGCACAAAATTATTAAGCAATTGTTCTCAGCATTGATAATAGTAAGAAATGTTTCTTGAGCATTAAAATGGCATATTAAAATTATTTCCAAAGGATCATGTGACACTGAAGACTGGAGTTATGGCTGCTGAAAATTCAGCTTTGCCATCAGCGGAATAAATACAATTTAAAAATATATTTAACAAGCCAATGGTTATTTTAAATTGTAATAATATTTTACAATATTATGTTTTTTACTCTATTTTTGATCACATAAATGGTGTTTAAGAGACTTCTTTTAATCTTACCGACCCCAAACTTTTGAACAGTACTGTAAATGTCAGCTTGTTTATTTGTGTGTGCAGAGTTTGGATGAGAGTAAGCCCCACTGGACCCTGCGTGTAGTGAGTGACCACAGTGAGGCAGGAAGTATAGAAGTGAAGAAAGACACTGAGAAACTAGAGGAGATCAGAGCCATGAAACTGGCCTGGGAGGCAGCTGAGCCCGGCAGAGCAGCAAAGGTACCACATAACTGGAAAGGTAGAAGTAAATCTGCTATGTGTGCTCAAACAATCCTGCATGTGTATCTGATTGGTTTGTTTTGAAGGGTCATCAGTCTCGGCTACATTATCTCAAAGAGCTGCAAGAACGTGCAGAGAGTAAAGAGCCTGTCACGGCAGAGACAGGTTAAACACAAAGATACACACAACCAGATTGTTTAATACAGTTTTATAGGGGCATATTTATTATATGGCCTAATATTTTCATTGTTCGTATTTTGTAGACAATCAACCTCAGCCCCAACAGAGTGGAGAGTTCATACAGAAGACTGACAAAAATTATATTGATTATGCACCATTTATCAGGTATCACAATTATATTGTATATTATAAAAGTTTGGGGTTGATAATATAAAAAAAATTGATATTTTTTATGTTAATCAAGGAAGCATTTATTTGATCAAAATTACAGTAATAACAGTAATATTGTGACATTACAATTTCAAATAACAGTTTTATATTTTATTGTAATACATTTTAAAATGTAATTATTTCCTGTGATGGCAAATCTTTCAGATATCATTCTAATGCTGATTTGGTACTTAGAAAACATTTCTTATTATTATCAATGTTGAAAAGGCTCCTTGCTTAAAAACCCCAAACTTTTGAACGGTAATGTATATGATCTTCGCTTTCACTCATAGTTTCGCTCTCTTTTTGTTTGAAGGAAGTCTTTGCCGCAGCCTCGTCTGAAGGATGAAGTGTTGGAGGAGGAGCAGAGGAGGGAACGCTCTGAGAAGTTCCAAAGTTTCCGCCTGATCTGGGACAATATTCTGGAACAGCGTAAACAGGAAAAAATTGCACGCAAGGAAATGATGAAACGACAGCTAGAGACTTACATTGGCTTTCAGGTTTGTCATGTGTCGATACTATAAATGCAGATTTACACCACACAAAATCATTGTTTTTATTGTTGGTATTTGTACCATAGCAGAGAAGTCATTAGAAAAAAAAACATTTGATTTCCTGTTATAGGACACAATGGATGCATATCGGCAAAAGATGCTACAGACTCGTGAGGCATTCTGTTCCCGCATCCTAAAGGAGCAGTCACATAAGAAAATGGAAGAGCCACCTAAGGAAACAGTCGAACAGGTTGAGCTAGAGAAAAACCCTACTGTGGTCCAGTCAAGTGGACGTAAGAGTGGGGGCAAGAGGAAGTGATCTGACCGACCAAAATTTCATAGCAATCAAATAAGCAGTCACTCATTCTAATATTACTCTTCGTTTTATTAAGACTATTGCATTGCCTGTCCTTTTTGAAAATATATTAAGAAAAGATTTATTTTGTAACAAGTGAATTCAGTTTGTAAGATTAGCATGCAGAGTCACCTTTCACTGTCAGGTTATCTTCCTCTGTGATTCTTTATTTAAATGGTTACTGTCAGGATTGATTTGAGCAGCTCTGAAGGACAGCCTGTCTCAGAGTGGCGAATATTGTTTCCCAGAAGAATATTATTGTTCCTATACATTCAAACTAAGTACTAAATGTCAATTTATTACATACTTTACAGATTAAATGAAATAAAAAATAATTAGATCCTTGTATGGTTTCCAAGTTTTTTTCTAGTTAAAAAATGTATTTATATATTTTATCACATAGCCGCCATGAGATAAAATGAGTGCTGGAACTTAAGCACAAGCACAAACACAATGACAATGTGATGTGATTAAAAAAATAAATAAATAAACACTTGATGAATCTCCCAAGTAAATTAAATTACTTTTATTATAGGAATGGATAGTGTCTCTAGGTTACGTATGTAACCATGGTTCCCCGAGGGAACGAGACGCTGCATCGAGTCGCTTTGGGAACCCCCTTGCGTGAGTGCGTTCTGAAGCACGTGTCAAATCAGTCCAATGGAGACCAGAAAGTATAAAAGCGCATCCAGCAGAGCGCAAACCAGCTTCGATGAAGTAGCGCCTGCAGGGATGCAGGGATTATGGCAAAGAGACGCAGCGTCTCGTTCCCTCGGGGAACCATGGTTACATACGTAACCTAGAGACGTTCCCCTTCAGGAACTCGAGCTGCGTCGAGTCGCTTTGGGAACGAGAATACCCACTGCGCCATACTACCAAGTCCCTGCCTGTGTGTGTATCTTGCGTGCACATCACAAAGAGAGAACTTGGGAACCTGGGGTAGAAGCCAGGTCTAGGTTGTAAAAGGATGGAAACATGGAAATAAGCGTCTCTGAGATCTATCGTAACAAACCAGTCCTCGGACTGGATCTGAGATACTATCTGCTTGATAGTGAGCATCTTGAACCGAAGCTGTTTGATAGCGCGGTTCAGAAGACGGAGATCTAAGATCGGACGCAACCCCGACATCCTTCTTCGGAACGATGAAGTAACGGCTGTAGAACCCAGACGTTCTCTCGAGAGGAGGAACACATTCTATGGCTTCCTCAAGAGAGTATCTACTTCTTGTTCCATTACCAGAGCCTGCTCGGGGCCCACCGACCTGACTGCTGTAGCACCCTCACTTGAGGGGGCGAGCTCTCCCGTGCCGTACCGTTGCCGGGCGGCAGCTGGGAATTTCACTCGTCGGAGCTCACTGAGCCCTGAAGCACCGAGGGTGGCAGGGGTATCAATAAGCCTCCGTGAGGGCACTGAGGAGGATTGGGCACCGTATACTGAAATGTTATCCTTTCCTCCCCAGGTGGGCTGCCCTCAGGGACCTGACAATGGTAGGACCATTTAGCCGAGGTCCTCTCAAGACAAATAACGGTCCGCAGATCCGTTTTCCGTCTAGAAGACCCCAACGGAGAGCATCGCCCCGACCCCCGATCGTTCTGTGGAGGGGTGCGGGTTGCAACGCTCTGTTTTTGAGACTGGTGATATGAGGAGCTTGATGGCTTGGGCTGCTCCCGCTCAGCAGCCCCACCCCTGAGCAGGTCAGCCTGGTATGCTTGTAACACCGCCATGGTGTGCAAACATGTGCCAGCCTGACCTACCGCCGTATAAGCTTTCCCAACCAGACTCGATGTAAGCCTAACGGGCCTGGTGGGAAGTTTCGGGGCCTTCAGGGACGATGCTGAGGATGGGGAGAGATAGCTCGCAAGCGTCTGCTCCACCACTGGCATCGCCCCATATCCCTTATCATTCAGCCCCACGATGTTCTTTTGAATAATTCGAGACTGTGGGGCTGTAATACGGGATGAGTACGGTTTCTCCCACGATCTTGACACCTCAGCATGGAGATCGGGGAAAACGGAAGGCCCCCGTCGTGAAGGCTGTGATCTGGATTCAGAAAACGCTCGTCTAATTATTTTTAGGACGAGCGTCCTGTTTCTAGGCTGGCCAAACTATATTTTATTTTGGTGAATGCACGAAATACACCCCATAATCACGAATCACGTCTCATACGCGAGGGACTGTGGTGGCGAGTCCACAGTCTCCTCTGTCTCGACACTCAACACATCCAAGATGAAGCGTCTGGCTCTCTCTCTCTCGGGGGGGAAACCGCAGCGTGGGCTTCCGAACCGTGAGAGAGAGCCACGGATCTAGTGGGTGAGGACCAAGAAAAGGACGAGCCCGTCTCGGATCCCTCCGCTAA